CAACAACCTAAAAATATTTTCAACGAAATTGCAATTGTTATACAGGGTTATTTAAATTTTTTAAAAATAGAACCCCCTGTATATGATTACATATTTCGATTCCTTGGTCAATTTTAGTGTGACTATTTATTACTCGATATCTAAAATTCGTCGTTTTTCAAAAAGTAGATGTCCAGTAAAAATTGAATATCGCAATCATTAAATTGAGAAGGCCGTGACTCGGCGGTATTACTAAGCATGAAATGTACTAACATACGCCGAACTGGTAAAATTAAACTTCTTTTGTGTCAATTTTCAAAATTTCAATCAATCAAAGGTAACTTGTCATATTTCGATGTCGATATTTATCTTTTACATAATTTTTTGTAATTCAACAATTTCTAATAATTACACAGTGTTTTTCGATTTTTAAAGCCTCTTAGTAATTAGTAGGCCGTTAAAAATGATAAACAATTGAAATTATAAAAAAATTACTCCAAATAAAACAAAACAAAAACGCTTGTTTTTCATAGCCCATTTCAAAAGATAAAAAAGATTCGCGCATAAACAAGTGTACACATATTCTGGGATATAAAAGGGCAAAATCGCGCATGCGCGGTTGTGCGGGTGGTATCTGTGCTAGCCACATTTTTTTTTAATTGAAGAACCTATGACACATTTTCCTATACCGTTTCTTGTATTGTTTTTGAAATTAGAAAGAAGTATCTATATGCGTATATGTACTATGTAGGCCTAGAATAAGAGATGTTCATGTAAATTATAAATGTGTTTGTTTTAGTCCATAAACGCTTCTTTTCCTTTTTTTGTTGGTTCAGAAGAAGCATTTTTCCAAATAAACCAAAGGTCCAAAATTAATTTTTTAAGAGCTATGCTTTGTTGCTTAGCATCTATTAGGCATACACCGCCTTTTTTTTTAATATTTCCATTTCTATATCGTCAAACTGGATAAAAACTACAGAAAATCTACTGCAAGTAATGATGACCATTTGTAAATTTTGGTTAGATTGTGTTTATGGAAAATAAATAGTAACAAAGTAAAGTTGGTCTAATCCATAATATATTAATTAATAAGAAATAAACAATTTGATGATAACTATTCAGGGTGATTCAAATTCGAGGGCCACCATGGGGATTTCGTTTCGTATTTAATGCTTAACAAAATGCAGTTTTGAAACTGAAGAAATTCCAACTACTTTCGGAGATATGCAGAAAAAGCCGAAACTTTGCAAAATCGTTTTTATTTATTAATGAAGGTTACTGATATTTCGAAATAAATGATACATTATTATGGCCACTTTTGTCCTTCTAGAAGATGCCACTTTTAAATTTTAAGTTTGACGTTTCGTCTCCAGTCAACCATCAACTTTGTTTTTTCTTATGGAACTCATTTTTACTTTTACATAAATGACACATACTTAATAGAGAATTTTTTTTCTGATTTCAAAAATGTAAACATCGCTATTTTTTAACAAGAAATAGCGCTATTAATTCGTAAAAACGCTAAAAACTACGTACGTACACTACCCAAGACAAAGTTTTCTAGGCAAAAAAGAAAATATTTTAATAATTTAAAAAACATGTGATGTTTATATTTTTGAACCCTCTTTTGAATTCTCAATCAAATGACCGAAAAAGTAAAAATTACTTCCATAAGAAAAAACAAAGTTGATGATGGTCAACCGGAGACGAAACGTCGGATTTAAAATTTGAAACTAGCATCTTGTACAGGGAAAAAAAGTGGTCATAATAATGTGTTATTTATTTCGAAATATCTTTTTTTAATAACTTCAGTAAAAAAGAAAAACGATTTTGCAAAATTTCGGTGTTTTCCGGATACCTTCGAAAGTAGTCGAAATTGTTTAAGTTTCAAAACTGCATTTTGTTAGGCATCAAAATACGCAACTTTGCCAAATTTAAACAGTTCTCTAGATCCCCATGGTGGCCCTCGAATTTGAATCAGCCTGTATAAATACAAATAAAAACAAATGTCAGCGTATTATATACTTTTGAAATCAGAAAGAAAAGATATATTCAATTTTTGAATAATATAGAAGGCGTTCTATAAAAAATTTACCAAATTTGTTTTGTCCGTCCGTCCGTCTGTCCGGATCCACTTCTGCCGTTTCGAACTACTTCTAGGGGAATGCTCCTAGAGTCCTGGAATTTTTTGCAGTAGGTAGTCTATACCTTGAAGGTGTGCCAGACAGCCATTCGATTTCGCCGCCTAAAAGGGGCGCCCCCCCCCCCCGAAATATTTTCTGAGATGCTGTTTTTGAAAGTAAAACGTGCATAACTTTTACATACGACAAACAATTGGTCTCAGATTTTGCATACGCATGCCTTTAGTGGTGTCAATTAGTTAAACTTTAGAAAATGGGGGGGGGGGGGTATTTATGGTATTCTAATGAAACGTCTCATCGAAATAAATTGGTTTAAACCTTTTTTAAGAATTCAAAAAAATTGAGATTATGTTATGTTTTGTGCGAATTGTATTTATTTATTTTTGCCTTTATTTTTGAGTGAGTGGGGTTTCAGCCACGGCTGCTCTGTACCAACCCAACCCACAATACGGGCTTGGATACTTGAAAATATGTCCATGCCCGAACCCGGGTTCGAACCAGGAACCCTTAGTGCTGCAGTTCAGCTTCAACTGCACTGCTCGACACTTTGCGCCAACACCAACGTCCATATCAAACTGTGAAAGAATACAGACAGATTCTTGGAAATGAAAACCCCTCAGTGTGCCCCACACAAAATCAAATACGTAACCAACGGAACTACAGAGACAACCAATAAAGCTTCCAACTCTGATCCAAACAATAATAAAGCTTTACATAGGGCAAATTTAAAACAATTTAAAAACACGGAACTATCCCCTAACCTGACAATGTCGGTCCAAAGCTGTAACCTGTAAATTGTTTGCCTCCTGGCCGTTAGGAGGTTAGGAACAAGATTTTGAAAAACGGTTTTCACTCTCTTCACCTCTTTGGATGTTATTTGACTATTTTTTCATAAAGAAAAAGTCATATCATTCCATTTGATTTTTTAAGTGTTTGGGTCATGGGGTCAAAACTAGCTCCCTGACGGAGAAGGATTCAACTAAATTAATAATAATTGATTCTTATTGCCCAAGGAATGCTCTTTTCAACGATACCAAATTTCTTAAAATCGGTCAAACCGTTAAGAAGCTCCACAACATCTTTGTTTTTGAAATAACTGAGTTTTTTTTACAAAAATGATAGATAAACTGGTTCTCTTTAAAATGTAAAAAAATGTTTAGTTTATTATGCGAAATTTAAAGAAAATACAATTTTAAAATTTAAGATGGCAGTTAGGCCCTCTGGTGGTTATTTTTAGAACTTGTAAATATTTTCCAGGGATTCTTCATGACCGATTTACCCAATAATTTTTTTACCCCTAAATCATACGACGAACGGTTCCCGAGATGTGGTCGAGGAATTGGGTCACCCGGTACACTCTATTGTATTTTTGAAACATCTATAATAACGATCACCCTGTATAATGCGCAATTCAAATGTTAAATCAGGTCGCTAATTTGAGATTAAACACAAATTCGATCGTAGTATTCCAATCCGAAGTTAATGTCGTGTATCAGAATTATTAGATGTTTTTTTTAAAGAATCGCGTTGTTATTTTTATTTTTAATTGCAAAGTAAATTAGGTGTTAAAATATTAGGTTTAATGATCTGGAAATAATTGCATTGCGTTCTGTAGAAGTTTATCTCCGGTAATTGCGATAAGTAGTTCGTTATCGCTGTGTAAAATCTAATTAATTTGTAGATAAGCAGATGTGTCTCTCTATCGCATAAAGACACTTTTCCAAAGCAATATCACCGGGTGTTTTGTGTTAGTGCGTCTGAGAATGCCAGTTGACCGGATTATTAATTTTAAGGTAATTAAAACTTTATCTAAACTTAATTTGTTTCAATCGATCGCTTGTTACACGGTATTTGTCCTCTAGCCTCGAGTGCCATTCTTCTTACAGCCCTTCGTACCTAGGATTATGGTAGGTGTTGATTAAAAATTTGAAATAATTCTTTGGAATTGTTAAGGAGGCGATTTCCTGAATTTGTCGTATTAACAAAATTAGTCTTATCGAAATTTGTCGTAGCAGCAGATTTAAAATGTGGTAGAGTTTTAGCTTTTGTTGAACTATTTGCACAGGTTGTGTGCAGGTGGTTTTAGTGACCGTTTGCCATTGCACATAGCAATACATTGAATTCCAAAGTAGGTACGTTAATAGTTTGGGGATTTATTCACAACTTTCCGGTACTCACTTGAAGTTGGCCATGATTTGCCTAAAATAAATTATACAGTGTGTTTGTTAAACATATAATATGGAAAAAATTAAAGAGGTCAATATACTAAGCATATTTTATCTTTTGATGATTTTTGAAACAGTGCTTTGTTGCGAAGATACAAGGCCCAACATTTTTCAACAATAATAACAATTTATAAGTAAAAATTACATGTATCATTTCTTAATCTAACGGGCGATCAAAAATGAGTTGCTGTCGAGTCGCCTTTGGAAGTTCAAGTTAAATACGATTTCTCATTTAAACAAACATTCCAAAGGTAACTCGACAGCAACTCATTTTTGATCGCATAGTACAACAATGTTTAAAATGACTACCCCCAGCTAAGGTGCAACCATCCAATCGTCTCCTGTTCGACTCCCGGACAGTTCCAAAAACACCAGGATCGTTTCTTATTGGGTTATACCAGCTTAGGGGGTCTTAAAAATGTTAAGAACCTTGGAAATAGTTGTGTACGTTGGAAATTTTGAGAACCCTGACTGAAATTTAATAAAAAATCTTCAGTTGTTGCCAAGGGTATCGCGCCCAGTCTTTTCTTATCGGGATTAAATTACACGATTGTACTTGAACGTCTAATAGCAATTTATTCCGGTTCTAATCTCTATCTCCTAAGCCTTATATAACGTCCGCACCTTTATCTAACAACCACAGTGTCATCTGCAACAATGTATCGAGCGGAACTATTTCAAAAATCGAGCGTAATCGCCCAAAGGGATGCGCAAGAAGTTATGGATCGAGTTCGCGAAATGGTGAAGTGGAAGGAGAACTGCAACGTGCTGGATATCGGTTGCGGAACGGGAAATGTCACCCACGATTTCCTCTTGCCAATTTTGCCCAAGTCGACAAAGGTCGTCATTGGTGTAGATAAATTCGCAGGAACCGTCGAGTACGCCAGACAGCACTACGGGCGAAGGATTGTTTTTGAACAGATGGACATTGTCTATGATACTATCACTAATGGAGAATACTACGACCATATTTTTTCCTTTTACTGTCTTCCGTTCATTAAAGAGCAAGAGTAAGTAAGAGAATGGGCGGAAATAGATTGCGATAATTTTTGTAGCATTGCGCTGAAGAATATTTACAAGCTCCTGAAACCTGGCGGCGATTTCATCTTTACTTGTACCGTACAGTGTAATTTGTTCGAAGTAGGCAACGCGATGTCTCGTATTGAGAAATGGAAACCGTACTTGGTAGACTACGAAAACTTTGTATGCCCATTCCAATTTTCCTCCAATCCAAAGGAGGAACTTGAAAAGTATTTGCTGAACGCTGGTTTTAATGTCGCGCACTTGACCATTGAGGCGAAGGAAATGATGTTACCTTTCCAACTATTTCCAGGTGAGATACCGGCATGGAGATCCACATAGTATCGTTCTTATTTTTAGAGTACATCATTTCGCATGCGCCTATGGAACTGCCCATAGAATTTGGAGTAGCCTCCTTGGACGTTATAAGAGAACTAAAGTCAGATTACATTAATAACGATACTGGGGAATTCTTCCATGTTAAATATCAAATGATCTTCGGGCATGCAGTAAAACCATGAATGGTGTCTTCGTGTCAAGAAGCTTCCGTAATAAATCTCATTAAACAGTTATTCTTCTTTTCACCTTGAATTTATTATTTTATTAGCCATCCTCTAGATCGTTTATTGCTCTACCAACTTAACCAAATAAAAGGAGGCATAAAATTTAGTTCCTCCCCACGAAATCAAAGTGTTTTGACGTTTTTCCAACGAAATTTGTAAGTAGATGAAGCTTAACGTATAGAGAGTACCTAAACGTATGTAAAGTAAAGATATTGCAAAATAATATGAAGCTGAGAAATATGGGAGAAGAGAAGGTATATATAAATAACGACCTAACAAGAAAAGAAAGAGAACGTAGACAAGCAAATCAGGAAAACAGCGGAAGAAGAAAGAAAACTATGAAAAATTGTCAAAAAATATCTATGAAATTTAGAGAAAAAATTGAAAAAAAAGGCAGAGAAAGATTCAGAACAATGGGAAACAATGAATTTGGAGCAAAAGTGTGCAAAATTAATAGAAGGAATAAAGGGGTTATAACGATAATATTTCAAATAAGCGAAGGGTTAAGGCAAGGAGGGGTACTGAGTCCAACACTGTTTCTACTAACAATGGACGATATCATTAAAGCAACAGCAACCAGGACCAAAATGTGCGTAATGATTTGTGCAGCAAATGAGAAGGACCGACAAGATAACCTACAGATATGAGAAGAAGAATTAAACAAAAACATGAAAATAAACACGAATAAAACAAAAGGTAATGGTGATAAGTAAGAAGAACAAGAACATTGACATAGTAATAGGTCAAAGCAAGATAGAAGATAGTTCAAACTTTCATGTTGTTACAGGTTCATTTTTAGTTTAGTTTTGCGTTATTTATTTTGATTTTTTAGGTTAGGAATTTGTTTATTTTGTTTTGAATTTCATCTCATAGGCGTACCCATTTTCTTAAATTTCTTCTTTTGATTTCTTCGCTTCTTTCGATTCTTGCCCTCTTCTTACGATTGTATTTACCTTTTCACGTTTTAAACGCTTCTTCTTTCCTTACTGTTTTCACTATTCCAATTTTCGAAGCTTATGTGTACTATTTTATTCATTGTTACGCCTCTGATTCGTTTCAGGGCTATCTGTTGGTATTTCGTCTAAACTAAACTATTCTTTCCCGCTCTTTTCAAAAATCTATTCTTCTTTTCCCGCTAACTTTTTATGTTCCTTAATTATTGGTATTACTGTTCGTTTTTTTCAAAATCTTCTACGTTTCGTTTTCCGTTTTCGATAATTGTCATTTCTGTAGTGTGCTGTGCGAAATTTTTAGAGCCGCATTAATCCAACAATTTTTGGGATTTTACCCTCTTGAAAGTCACCCTACTCAACAAAAAGGATTTAGTATCCGTCCCGGGATCAAGAGTAGAGGAGAGGCGCACTTGTGTTTCCGAGTACAACCAATATAAATATTTTAACTCTCGCTCGCCGGATTTCAACCCCTTTTGATCCGAGCGTTAATTTACTACCACCAATTATAGCACCCAAAATATTATATTGTTTCTACCTTTAAGGCCCACACCATCTCGGCCTTGTATTTTTTCCCCTTCTTATTTATTCAACCTGTACCGTACTGCTTCAAATTCTTCGTCTTCCGTCGTTCGTCGTCCGTCTTCAGTCTTCAGTCGTCCGTCTTCAGTCTTCGTCGTCCGTCTTCAGTCGTCCACCTTCAGTCTTCGTCGTCCGTCTTCAGTCTTCTATCGATACCCTCAAATTTCTTTCCATTTGGTCCCTTCTACCCTCTTCCCTATCCTTATTTTCCCCACACTTAGCCACTGCTCTACTCACCGAGTCTACCGAACAACCGCTGGACAACTACAGGAGCCAGGAAAACAGCTAAGCACCTTCCAATTCACCGTTATTCACATATGATTGCCCGCTAAGTTTATTTAAAAAAAAAAACCATTAATTCATTAATTCAGTCATCTTACCATCCGTTTAATTAATTATTTTAGTAACTTTTGTGTCTTACTGTGAGACGAGATCTTTCTCATTCACCATCATTCGCCCTACAATAAAAATATTCCTATTTCACTACTTTTCTCTATTTTCTCCTCCTTATTTGTCTTGCATTTCCAGATCACCAGGAGCAGGGTTCTAGTTTTTCCTGTACGCCCAAATTTAACAAAAATTAGTGGTGCCTACATTCTCCGAGCAGTTTTTTCCAGTTTCGTCGAACCACCCCATACCACCGAGAGCAGCTGGAGCCGTAATGCTACATTCTTTCCTTCCTTCAAAATTTTCTTCGTCACA